GGAGCAGCTGGTGGATTCGAAAGGCATTATTTGGGTTAGCAATGCAATTCCTTACCACCATGGCAACAGGGAAATCTAGTCTTAAGTGTGTGGTATGAATTTACTTCTCTGGTAAATGAAGATGTACATTTTAAGAATGATATCAAAGGTTACACACATGTAAATGCACACACTTCATTCTCTATTGCTCCTTTCTTTCAGACTATCTCCAAGCTAAATTATAAAAACTTTATAGACTTCTGCCAGGTTTTTCAACCCTCCTGCCATTCCCATACACACCCAACTCAATGCTGCAAGCACAGTAACTGCTGATGAAGAAAGGAGACTATACCTAGGACAGGTGACAATGACGCTTCAGGTTCAGGGGGTGGCAAAACAGCTTCTGGGATGACATAAGGCAAATAAACAGCTTCTGTGCACGAGAGCCCTTTAAGTTCAGATTATCTAACCTGCTCTAATCAAAATTATTCCATCATTTTCAGAACTCATCTTCTCAAGTTTTTAACAGTAAAAATTTCCAAACACTCTCTCCCCCTCTTCTGAGTCAAGTGTCTACTGGACTATGTGTATATTTTATATTAGTGTACACAGATTCATTAATCATTGGACTAGTAATGCTGAAATTATTAAATACAACAATAAAATTGGTGGTTTGTAATAAAAGAATGGATCTAAATGGTCATTTAGTTTAAAACATACTTCCTTATGATTAGTAAAGCATATACAGGCACATTATATACTTAGCACAAAGGAAAGAAAATTTGGGGGACAGGAAAAAATCAGAGGAAATGACAGAAGAGAACACACATAAAGCTGTGTTGTTTCAACATCTCAACACTGAGTAGGCCCTCAAATGGCCCACTCCACTGTAAATGTGGAATCCTACGAGTCCTGTTCCAGGTACACGGTGGATGCTCCTCCTTCCACACTTGCCTGTGTCGATGACCTACTTAAAAAGTGCTCAATACCAACAACTGGGGAATGAACTTTGTACTCTTGGCCTGAGTCCCAGACATACACACTGATCTACAAAACAAGAGATGAAGAAATTTCTAGGGAAGAACTGGAGCACTATTTTTTAAAAGCAATTAAAAATACTATAAAGAAGCTAACTGGGTTTCTCATCCGTTTCTTCAACTAGTGTTGAAGGTCTACGGTACTATTGGTGTTATGATGATGAAGACAGGAGTTATGTCCAGGAGAAAGAAAAGCAGGCAGGAAATTGCAAAAGGAGCTATTTCTTAAGATCTGTTAAGGACTGCTATGAGGTCTCTTGTCTTCTCAATCGGAGCAGCAGCATGCTGGCTGATGGAGGTGTAGGGCATGAAGAGACAAGATTCTGTTACGTTCTTAGGTGTCATCGAGTCAACTATAACTCACGGTGACCCTAAGATCTACATATCTGAACCTTGCCCTATCCAGAGCCACTCTCATCATCTGTCAAGTGCAAGTTCATTGTTACGGTCACTGGGACAATCCATCTGGTGTGGAGGGTCTTCTCTTTGACCTCTTCCAGCATGATGTCTCTTCAAGGGCTGTGTCCTCCTGAGAATGTGCCCAAAGTAAGATGAAGTGTCATCCTTCTCACCCCTAAGGAGTGCTCAGACTCCATCAAGACAGAGTGTTTTCCTTTGGCAGCCCAAGGGGGCAGTCAGTACCCTTTTCCAACATCGTAGTTCTAAGGCACCGATTCTTCTTGTCAGTCTTCCTCACTGTCTAGCTTTCACACGCATAGGAAGCAACAGAAAAGATCACGGCGTGGATCAGGCACACCTTAGTCTTTCAGATCGCTGCTGCTCCTTAGCACTTGGAAGAGGTCCTTGACAGATGGTCCCCAAACCACGTCTTTCGATTTCTTGACTGTTGTTACTGTGGGTGTTCATTGTGGATCCAAGTAAAATGAAACCGTTGACAACTTCAAACATTTCTCCCTCTCGTACAATGCTGTTGGTGAGGTAGCAAGGATTGTAGTTTTTGGTTGGGTGTTGAGTTTCTTTCCCCCCATTTTGAAATCACTTGACAAGAGCAAATCTGTAAAGGGTTGCTAGGTCCAAACATGTGCCCTCAGGGTGAAGCACAAAGGGTGACTTCATGGGAACATCATTTAAAGAGGACAAGGGACGCTGGCATTGCCATCGCTGCCTGTGGACAAGGAAACACCGAGCACTGCTTAATTTGCTTACAGAACCATCTTTCACAAGCTCGGAGTTGCCTCCTGTTTGGGTAGTGGGCATCAGGGGTAAGGATCCTGGTCACCCACCGTGTCTGGCTGCCGTCTTTGGTACCAGAAGCTGGTAAGGGTGGGTGCAAGCATCTGCGGGTCAAAGTTGGTGGCAGGATGGTCTTTGGTGTCCACATTCTCCTTGGATGTTGCAGGCTCCTCCTGCGTAGTAGGTTGTGCTTGATGGTTGATTCCAAGTCCTGCGTTCATACGTTCTGTAGATCCAGAACTGTGAAGCCCTGGGATAAAAGGCCTTCAGGATAAAAGTGCGTAGGGAATCAGATTGTAGTTTTCTTGATGTTGAGATGTAATACATATTGGAGGCTGTAGTCTTTGATCTTCAGTAAGTGCTTCCTTCAAATCGGCTTTACTTCCTGCAAGAATGTGTCATGCGCATAATGCTAATTGTGAGCCTTTCTCCAATCCTGAAGCCATGTTTTCTCCACACCTAGCCAATGTGTATGCCGAGCAAATGGTTCTAGAAGCTGGACTATGAGAAGAATGTGAACATGTGCTAGAGTATGACAACTCAAAGAAAAGAAGATCTGGAAAGGCCAGGACGTGCCTTGAACAGGGAAAGCAGGGACAGATTGAATCAAAGGCCACAATGATTCTGGATCTGACCCTAGAAATTTGCCAGGCCATGCAGTTTTTAAGGTTATTGTTAGGACTTGGGTTTTGGAGTCAGAAGAGATTTCATGGTTAGTTTAGGTAGCTCACTGGGATTAGAGTTAAGATTACCAGGAATTCAGTAAATGGTATCTAGATGTGGTCTCCCCCAGGGCAGCTGGTGGATTTGAACTGCCTGCCTTTGGGTTGGCAGTGCAACTCCTGATCCATGAGGTCACTGGAGCTCCTTAAGCAGAGGACTCTGGTGGTGTAATGAGTAAGGGAGGTGCACTGCTAACGCAAAGGTGGTGCCTCTCTGGTGGGCTGAATCATTCCATCAGGGGGTCCGCAGGAGAAAGATGGGCAGTCTTTCCTGTGCTGTTTACAGTCTCCAAAAATCCACTGAAGGGTCTGCTATGAATTGATGGCAATGAAGGAGTGAGTGAACGAGCAGCACCTACACACAGTGCATCTGCTTCCCTCTGAAAGTCCAGGTCTATCTTACACAGCCAGGAAAAGGGGCAGGGTGAGCGAGTGGGCAGAGCCACGGATGTGAAGGTGTTGCCTTAATCGTAACACAGGCTTGTGAGACCAACTTTGTAGCTAAATGTTCTCTGTCCTCTTGGCTTGATAATAAGTAAATGTGAAGTTTTCAGTCTTTAGTCCCACCCTTCTTTACCACTGTAGACTGTAGACAGTCAAGCCAAGTGATGGGGTTTACTGAGATTTAGAAATGGACTGCAGAAGAGTATACAATGAGTTCAAATAAGATAATGGATATGAAGAATCAATAAATATAGAAGCTATTTTTTATTTAGAACGAGGCATATTCTGAAACACCACAAAGTCAAACCCTGAGAATCAGCTGAACCATAAATTTTACTTTCCATGGAATTAAAATAATTTCTCTGTAATTTTTTTAAAAAAGCAATAGAAAATATTTCATAATCAACTGAAAGTATCTACATTCACTTTTTTATTCTAAACAAACAAAAAGATAACCTGATTTTAACATTTTGGAACATTCTGAAACAATGCCTCTAAAATGAAATCTGGAGAAAACAGGCCAAGGATACACAGGACAGTGCTCTGTCTTTTGTCTCTGCTACTTCCTGTGGGTTTGAAATTTTTAAGCAAGCTTTTACAAAATATAGGATCTATAAACAGAAAAAAATACATTAAACTGAAGAAAGAGCACTTATTTTGGTCAAAATTTGGTGGTGGATGAAACAAAATTGCACAATGGTGCAATTTTATAACATAAGTTAGGTAGAACCATGGAAAACAAGATTTTAAAACATAAAGCTTAAGTACAGGCTGCGTCGCCTACTAGCTGGGTGACCTGGGACATACCTCTTACTCTCTCAAGAGTGCAATGAGAATCAGTTATGTAAAAGCTTGAAATCTAGCACCCTACACAAAATGCTAGCTATTTTGAATCCGCACTTTCAGCCTCAAAGGACTGTCTTCACTTCTACCATGCATTCTTTAAACAGGACAAGCACACACCTTAAAAATGGTATTCAAACAAAGAAATAACAGCAACTCAGTTTATTACATGCAGATTCTTCTGCATTGTTGCTAACAGTTCACTGGTCCAAAATTACTAAAATACTTAAAAAACTATACATTATGTAAACAAAACATAAATAAGACAGAATAGTTCTTTGTACATATAGTTTAGTATAGGTTAGGGATTTAGGAATATGTACAAGTTTGCACCAAAGATTGCATTTTTACAATGCATAAATATATATTTATATATATGTATATTTTTACAGGGGAAAAGTAAGATTTCACTAATGACACAGAATACCGTCGCGCAGATGCGCTGCAACAGTTCAAATTCAAGATGAAACTTGTCAATGCAAATGTGCAAAAGGCTAGCTTACTCTAAAACTAGTCAAACTCGACTCTGTTCACCTGACCACCTAGAAACCACCTCCGACAGCAAACCTATCCCAGTGAGGAAAATGGAACAGATTTTCCTGTCCCCAAACAAAACTTTGTTGCAAGCTAAAGAAAAGATAACATTTCAAAAAAAAAAAAGAGAAAGGAAAACAACACACGTGTGTATAGTTATGTTTTCAACATTCTAATAAACAGTTAAAATTCTTCTGGGAGTCAAAACAATGCCCCATTTTTTAAGAACTGGCTCGTTTTGTCTAATTCAAGATGCAGCAGTGTCTGGTTTCTCTAAACCAGATGACTGAAATGCAGGGAAGACAGAGGTGGGGTCCCGACTGGCAGAGACAACAATTTGAGAGAGAGATGGAGAGAGTGAAGACACCTTTGAGGCTGGAATATTGATGGTATTTAAAATCGCTCCTTCTGGGCTGACCAGCAGTTTTTTGACGGGTGTGTCCAAGTGAAACCCTGAAGTATTCCTTGGCAGTGGAGGGTTACTAGAACAAATGGCAGAGACCAGAGATGTTTTAGCCACCAGAGCAGCTGGAGGAGATTTGATTACAGACGTCGAGGACACCACGGGTGCCGGCGAGGTGATTGGCCCTTGTACGGTTGTGCTCACCACCTGTGGTGTTGTCTGTACTGGGGGTGGTGAACCTGCACTCCCAAGAGAGCCGACGCTTTTTGTAGAACTTTGTAGCGGCTGCTTTGCAGCCTGGCTGCTTGAAGAATGATCTGACGCCAGTGTGATCTTTGGGGCAGGGATGTCGACGGGAGTGGGCGGGATGCCCTGGCCACTGTTCAGAACTAAGGGAGGGCTGTACTTTGAATTAGCAGATATTAACAGGACATGGCTGCCAGCCCCCAGGCCCTGTGGGGGAACAATGAACCGAGCCCCATTAATCATGATTTGAGTACCGGGGGCCAAAGGTGTACTGGTGTTGATGACAATTTTTTGCTGAACACAAGGTTCACTGAGCTGAGTGCCTGCCATACTGGACAGAGGTGACGGGGCTGTCGCAGTCTGAAGGGCGGAGCCACTGGGCGCAGAACTGTAACCAGAGGCTGGTTTCGCTGAAGCCGGAGATGGCTGTTGGTTGGGCATAGCAGCAAAACTGGAAATATTAATGACTTTGCCTGGACTGGGTGAAAGGCCTGGCAACTCGGTTTGAGGTTTGCTTGTGTTTCTGGGAGCTGGCACTGGAGTTGGAATCCCTGGCGACTGAAAGTGGACAGAAGTCTGAGACTGCCTTTTAGGGAGAGCCACAGCCTGTGAAGCTCCTGGGCCTGCTGGCACATGTGGAACTGTGCTGATTACGGCAGGGGACGCGGTCACAGGTGCAGACAAGGCAAGAGTCACAGGGATCTGCAGAGCGGACGTTAAACATTGAGGAGAGACTGCTGGTTGTGCAGTTGAAATCAGAACAGATGATGCAAGATGTCCTGTTCTCACAGTTGAGATAGCCACAGTGTTGCCGAGATTCGATGTGCAGAGTCTATTTGACAAAACAGGCATCAGTCGTGAAGAGGTATCACTTCCCCCGACCAGAACAGGAGGTCGTGTCCCAACAGAAGCACAAGCTGAGGTCACGGAGAGAGAGCCCAAGGGTACATTTGGTCCTGTTACTGCAAACACTCGTGGTGTAGAAGCTATGCCCTCGTTGACAGGGGCGAGACCCTGAGTCCCAAGGCTGGAGCTCCGTGGAAGTGAGCTCCCACCCGGCGACAACGGCAGCGGCAGGCCATAGCCCTTGCTCTTCTCTTCTCCTTGCTGGGTGACGTTCTGCAGTATGTTCACCGACGGCACCGGTGGCATACTGCCTGAAGTGTTGACAATTGCTTGGCCTATGTTCAGTCCAATTTTCACATCTTTTATCTGAGACACGGTTGGCGGTGGGTTTAGTTTGATTGGCCCTCCCACGGTCGAGGGAATCAGCACTATTTGGGGGTGTTCTGGAGCCTTAACATATGTTTTACTCAAAGTGGGAGGGAGGGTTTGTTTTAATGATTCTGCAACAATGGTTGGGGTTGAAGTGCCACTGGGAATTGGAGTATTAATAAAAACTAACTTCTGGGTAGAAATCCCTGTGGATGTGGGTGCAGGTGGCACAGCGATTGCACTTCCGCTGCTGGGAGGGAGGACCGGGGAAGCTGACATCAGCATGAGCTTCTGAACTGGAGCCCCACTGACCAGGTCTGCACTGGCAGCAGCTGCCGCCTCAGCACGTATGACAGGGTCACTTTTTGAGGTCTGGTCTACCTGCTGCTGTCTGGCTGGAGTCTGAATGACACTTGTGCTCATTTGCCCAGGGTTCCCTGTTGCTGCGCTGGCACCACTGACGCAGCCACTTGTGGCTGATGGCTGTTGAGGGCTCGAGGCAGCAGGGGCCTTCAAAGGAGAAGAGGACAAGGGCGGTGATTTGTCTACCAGGGGGCCCAGGTTACCATTACCAGATGGTTGGCCTAACGTAAGTTTGAGGCTTTTTCCCACACTTGGATTAAAGCCAGCTGGAATGGAAACCGAAGTTGAGGTCTGGCCAAAGGGTGGGAGACTAGATGTAGGAGTGGTGCCGGCTCCTGGTGAAAAGGTAGAGGAGGACAAGGCTGCTGATTTTGGCACAAGAAATGCCTGAAGCTGAGGAGCAAAAGTGAAAACTGAACTTGCAGATAAACTGCTGGGTGAGTTCTGATCTGGATTGGTCTGTACTTTTACAACCCCTGTGTTCCCACCTCGGGTCCTGACAAGAATTGACTGGGAGTCCCTTATACACACAGTCTTCAGTTCCTGCTTTGTTTCAGAAGAGTCAGTGGCTGGTTGTGCAAAACAATTGAGGGAACTTCCAGGATTTGCAGGTCCACTCAGTGTCGTGGCTTGTAAGAGAGGCTGAACTGTTGAGGAAATGGAGGGTGAAGCTATGGACTGGGGGAACGTGGCTGCTGAAAGTGCATTCTTGGGTTTTCCAGCCTCACTCTGGTTAGTCTTCACCTGCGGTGTTAATAAATTACTTACAGAGGTTAGAGGTGACAGGGGCTGAGGTCTAGCACTACTCACATTTGTCAAAGGTGCAACTGTCTTGTTGAACACTGTACTAGGTAGTTGGGGAGACACGGTTCCCGTTGAGTTGACAAGAACTGACGCTACGGAAGGGTTTACGTTTGCTGTCTGGGGGACAGGTGAACAAAGCTGCTCAGTACCCTTTGGCTGAAAAGGAGATGCTTCTTTTGCAACAGCTTTTCCCTCCTTGTGCTGAATCACAAAATTCTTGGGGAGAATGAGAACCTGCTGCATGACTTTTTCTCCAGTTTTAGGATCCACCACAGGCTGCATCTGAATCTTTACAGAGCTGTTTTGAAGATCGACTGGCAACCACTGGCCACTGGGCATCTTGTATACCATCTGTAAGGGGCCTTTTGTACTGGCCTGGCAGGTCAACGCTGGTTTTGTGGGGCTTGCTTCTGGAGGAGAGAGCACTGGCTTGTCCACGGCAGGAGTACTTCTACCGGTGGAAAGAGGCAGCTGGTTTGTTAAGGTCACTTTGTTCCCAATATTCTTTGCAAGCAAGGCCTGAATCGGTTTGGTCCCTTTCTGGAGAGAAGACACTGGGGCTGAATCCACTGAGGCTAGTGACTCTGGAAGCAGCGGCTCTACACACTTGGGTTCATTAAAACAGTCAGTCTGCACCTCATCCTCTAACTTCTGAATTTCTACTTCATTTGTGCTTAACTTTGCTTTCTTCCTTGGGGAAAGCTCTTTTGTGCTGTCATCCAGGTAACTGGTTTGTTTGGATGGTCGCTTCAGTGTTTTGGGCAGTGTCTTCAGAGCATCTTTAGAAGGCAATTCCTTTCTCAACAGCTTGCTTCTGCCCATAGAAAAGTCTACTTCAGACAGTTTCGTATCATCTGAAAATTATAAGAAAACCAAGCATTTTGGTTATATACACCTGAGTAGCAAGGTTGAGCAATTACAAAGTTAATTCCTGACAACTAAAGTGACCTATGGCATGGTAATCCTGACATCACTAAAATTACAACTGAGAAATTCTGGTTTTGGTTCAATTTTGCTAATTCTTTTGTCAGTCTATGTAAGTTCAAAAGGAAATTTTGCATATTTTAAGAGAAAGCGAAGCAGAGGTTCTCAACAAGTGTATTTTTAGTCAATTAAAAGATCAAAGCCAGTTCTCTGTGTAGTTGCTAATTATCCTTACAGTAAAAAAAAAACCAAAAGTACATTCACACGTGGTCAAAAAGGGTCAATAAAAAACTATTCTTTTTCAATTCATCAAAGACATGGAAAATAGTAAGTGAATATACTTCTAACCATACACTTTACTATTAACTCTGTATAACTTAAAACGTTTTAGTTATTAAGCGTAAATAGCAAAGTACATTATAAAACTAGATTTACAGAATCACTTAATATATGATGAGTTGAACTATGGGCAACTTAGCCAAATTATTATCCTTAGTAGAACCATGTGCTCATTTCTGCTTTCATTTAGGCTGCCAATCTCAGTTGACCCTCAGTTTAAAACAAAAAATGACAAAAATCCCTCAAACTTCACAGCACTGTAGATTTGTCAAGTTTCGTTTAAAGACACTTTAGAGGACTGGATGGCATCAGGGCTCACAGATCTGGAACACATGGACTGTGATGAGCAAAGATGTGCCTACAGTCAGGTCCCGACTCCAGAAATAAAAAAAGTAACTACAGCTCCCCAAAGACATCTCAGAAGGATGTAATACTCCTTCAAAACACAGTTCCCAATCAACACACTGACGAGATTATCCTTCACCTTCACAAAATGTTTTAATACCTACCTAAATCAAGATGATCTTTCTCTGGGGTGTCCAGAGGTTCTGCTAAGTCTACAGACTTGCCAACTTCTACCTGAGGAGCATCTTTTCCAGGGTCACTTTCACCTTCCTCACTGGCCCACAGTTCTCTGGTGAACTTATCGTGGTCAGGCTGTCTTCTGAAGTCATCATAGTCTCTCTTAAGACGGCTCCTGAAAAAAATGCCCAATATAACAAATAATACTTATGCACTTAATTCTTGAAAACTAACCTAACTTTCATAATTTTTAACTGTACACCTGTATCTTTAGCCAACATTTCATATTTACAGCAGTGAAAAGAAATACTCTGTTCTGTGCACTGACAAAGCAGTTACAGCAATGCTGAGGTCTGAGGTGAGTGTATGTTGGCTGGGATGTTTAATGTGTCAGTGTGGCTGGGCCATGATTCTCATTGGTTTAGCAGTTACACAATGATAAAACTTGACAGTTATGTCATGATGTAGTTATCTTCCACTTTCGTATAATGTCAATTTTCACTTGACAATCTTGGCTTTGGAATTATTCCTTCAGTCTTTCCTATCTCAGATAACAGCAATTTCATTATTCTAGCTGTTTCATCTAAATATCATGGGTATCACCATTTTAATCCTGTTCTCTCATACCACGCATATCCATTACTTCAGCAATTAAACTTTCAAAATATACCCAGAATCCAGTCACTCCTCGCTATGTGTACTCCTATCCTGGTCCAGGCTTTCACATGGACTCTTGTCATGCTGTTGTCGTTGCTGTTAGGTGCTGTCGAGTTGAGTACTATCATAGCGACCCTACAGTTAACCTGAACCCTGCCCCATCCTGTACCAGCCCCAGCACCTCTGACACACTAGAACATACTGCTGAAGTCACCATTGTCAGTCCGTCTTGTTGAGGGTCGTCTTCTCCTTTACTGACTTGCCATCTTTCCAAGCATGATGTACATCCCTTTCTAAGGAAAAGCTTCATCTAACTACATGTCCAAAGTATGAAAGACGAAGCCCTGCCATCTTTGCCATTATACTAATTCAAACACAGCAGCTCGAGTAAGGGATTTAAAACAGGAGTCAGATCATGTAATTTCTCTGCTTAAAAATCTCCCAATGTCTTCTCATCATACTCAGAGTGAAACCAAGTGCTTAATAAAGATCCACGTGCTCTGACTACCTGGCCCCTCTCAACACCTCTGGCCTAACTTGTTTCTGATTAGGCTCCTGCCTCCCTTGCTCTACTGAGGCTGCACTTGTCTCTTCAGTATCCTTCCCAACCTCAGGGCTTCTGTCTCTGCTCTTTTCTCAGCTACTCCCTCACGTCTGGCTCTCTCCCTTTTCCATCAACATGACCTCATCCTTGACGCCCTTCAAAATACCAATCCTCACCTCATCTAAACCAGGCTCTTCTTCATACTGCTTACCTCCACCTGCCATTTGAGTCTACCTGTCTTCTGTTGGAATGTTATGTCACATCGCTGCTTTCTCAACGGTAGGAGTGCTGTGTGCACTGCAGACACTCAGGCACAGCTGCTGACTTACAAGTAACTAGAGAACCATGACAGGACCCCAGGGCACTTTCCACTCATCATAAACAGAGAGGCCTGAATTTAAGGAAAACAGATGAAAAACTGGAATTACCTGTTTCTTTGAAAAGCCTTCATTAACTTTGGTTCCCATGGCAACAACTCATTTAAAAGGCGGATCAATGTGCTATGTAGTTCTTTTACAGCTTGCCTCCGATGATACCACCGACCCTAAAAATAAAATTGTAAAAATAAATCTCTTAGATTTAATATTTTTTAAAATGTATTTTAATAGTAAAATAAGACAAAGGCCAATGACCCATTGAGTAAGTATTTCTTCAGAAATTTGCAGAAAGTTGAAAAATTACAAGAAAAATCTCAAAATAACTCTTATTTAATATATTGTAAAGGTTCTCAATTTTAAAGGAAGAACTTTGATGCACATTTCATTAAACCGGGACATACCATTTCCTTTTTATGTTTTAAAAATTGGGTCAACTATAAACTGTCTTAACAAATAATTTACTAAATACATGTAATACATAAGTGCTTACATACATTCCAGGACATTAATGTGCAGACGTACAGCTTACTTCTGCAGTTTTCTAATTTTCTCAGAATATGAGAGAGCAAGAAACCTTGGTTTTTATTATTGTATTAAAAATAGCCTTCTTTTTTTTATAAAACCTTTTTTAAATTTTATTTTATTATGTTTTGTGTGTGTATCATCAAATCGGGTCTGACTGGTACAGGAGGAGATTGCCCCTCCTTCTCCAGCAGAGCATCTGGATTTGAACTTTGTGCCTCTGGGATTGCAGTGCAGCTTCTTGCCACTAGGCCACCAGAGCTCCCTAAAAATAGCCTTCTTAAACGCATTTTCCTTAAGTTTTACAATTATATATTTTATTTCAAAAAATAAGTATCACAGTAAAGTAATTAACACAGCCATCACTTTAAATATGGTAATGCTGTACACTATGATTAAAGGTTGTGTACTCACATGAGATGAATCCATATCTGGAATCAAGTTCTCAGAACTACCTCATTAGCTCTGAAAAACTATCTCACATATACACAATCTGATATAAAAACCTCAACTACAGATATATTTCAATAATATACATAAAATTATTTGACTACTATTGGTATTCAGTAAGTTTATAGGAATAGTAAGTTATAATAGCTGCTCTGAGCACCCAATCTGATCCTCTTTCTCTCCCCTCCACCTTGTGGTGTTCCAATTTTAACCACAACCTTAATTATACTCTGCTGGGTAACAATACTTTCTATTTATTTACTTCCCCCGCCCTCAGCAGCTCAGTTGTAATTTATATGCCTCACAATTTACTAATCTTTAAATTTCTCTTATAACACAAGATATAAAGCCACGTATGGGTTCTAGATCACATCAGTATGCAACATGTAAAACTTCAGGGCAAAAAATTATCACCACCTAGAACCAACAATATTCTAAATATGTGCATAAATATCCTAATATTAAATATATAAAACTCATGTATTAGTAATGGAAATTTGAGGCACATACAAACCCAAGTGATTACTAGTATAATGTTAAACTGAACATTTGTGCTTTAAATCAGCAAAAAGTTCATGCACATAAAAACAATTATCTCTCAGTTTTATGTTTTGGAAAAGGAAACTGTTTATCAGAGAAAGAGTAGAAAGATGTAGGCTTAGGTGTACAAGTGTACACAAATAGATATGGAAAACAGGCTTATTCTTTCTCTTCTTAGTAGTGTAATAGATCACAGAATTATGGGGATAAAGAAAAGCAATTTTTATTTCATGTGATATACTAATTCAATCAAGTCTTATTAAATACTTTTTTAAAATAAATATAGCACCCAACTTTAAAATTAGCTGTATGTACAAAAAAGAAATATTGTTAAGATCCTATCAAACACTTACTGTTAACTAATGGAAACAAAATTATTTAACTGGTAAACAATACAACCAAACAGTAACAGTTTTAATCTAAAGAAAATGAAATTAAGGAACATAAAGGGGCAGAAATGATGGCTATCTTAATTCTATGGAATAAGGCAGAGTTGGTGTCAAACAAAAATGAAGTTGTTTTGCTTAACAAAGTACGTGTGTAAACAGCATCATTTTACAATTTCTCAACTGTTGTTGTTGTTGTTATGTGCCGTCGAGTCGCCTGCGACTCTTTACCTTAAAAAAGAAATGGTGAGCATGGCAATAACATTCCCTAAGCTGAGCTAAAAGAAAAAAGGCTTAAGGAAGGAGGTGGGATAAATAGTCCCTTGGAGTCAGAATTAACTGCAAAGTATTAATAGACCAGACAGGTTCAAGTCTTCTAATTAACGGGAAGTTTTGAGAAAATACATGGGATTTAGACTGTTACTGACATAGCAGGACTGATGCCTGATTAGGTTGAAAGTAAGAAAGCAGTTAAGACTAAAGACTTAGCAGCTGAGAGACAGAGAAAGACATATCTACTAGCTGTGTTTGTCTCTACTAAACTACATTATCCTACATTATCATTCTGAGTAGAAAAGAATTTTAAAAGTATTAAAAAGAGCTTACCTTTTGATTTAATTTTGGTTACTTATTTGGAACAAATTAAAGCCCAGAAACACTACTGAACTAAGCAAATGTGTACATGGAAGAAGCCTTATAGATTTCTAACCTACTGACTGGCTGGAAATACGTATGGTCTAACTTTATATGTTCTGTGGGCTTCTTCCCTTTATGTGTTTTCAACACTGGGTACTTACAGTGGTATGTGGTGGTCCATTTGTAATCTGAAAACGTATATGAAACAATTTTGTATTTAGAAAGCAAATCATCAAGTTTATTATTATTTTTTTTTTCTTGCTGTGTACTGTCAAATCAGATCCAATTGGCACAGAGGGAGATTGCCTCTCCTTCTCCAGTGGAGCATCTGGTGGATTTGAACCACGTGTCTTTGGGATTGCAAAGTTAATTTTTATACTGCAAATACATTACTGAAAACACAAAGTGTTCTGGTTATAAGATCCGTACAACAGACACAATGATGTCAATAAAGGGTCCTGGGGCATGTATTCTAATTGTTTTTACGCATATCAAAAGTGTTCACCACCACTGAGGAACAATGTTCTGAAATGGCTAGAGAAACTCATATTAATTCGCCATTCATGATCATCTCTTGTCAAAATGTGATGTTTACAACCCAAACAAAACTAAAATAAAAGCATGTTGCTTTATAGTTGGTCTTAAGAGTTTCACAGTATACAGAATGTAAAGAGAAGTTACACATTTTAAAAGAAATTAGTCAGAGATGGTGATAATTTACCTTGGCCTAGGTCTAATATAAAAATTTAGAATCAAATAAATATTTACTGAACTTTAAAATAGATAACTGGCTTAAAGGTAGTGTCAGAAACCTTGAAAATTGGCTTTTCTAAGGTGCTCCTGATCCAGGCCATAGTCTTCACATTGCTTGCTATGCATCAGAGAGCTGGACAATGACTGGGGATTATAGAAAGGGAATTGATGCCTTCGAGCTGTGGTGCTGGAGTGGAGTTCTGGACTGCCAGGAGAACAAAGAAGGTGAAGCCAGCCTGCTCCTTGGAGGCAAGGAGTCTGAGTCTTTGTCTGACAGTACCAGTTTGTTTGAGGTACCGATGCTTGGAGAGGGACATCATGCTTGGGAGGGTGAAGGAACGGAGAGAGAGAGAGAAATCATAGATAAGATGGATTGATATGGTAACTGGAGTAATGAGGGTAGGTGTGTCAGAGAAAATAAAGTTGGCACACGATAGAGCAGGTTTCAGGCCTGTTGGGCACAGGGCTGCCATGAGTCACAAGTGACTCAACAGCACATAACAACAATCTATTATGTTAGCCTTCATTGAGGGCATGGTCTCCAACTACCTTAACTGCAGACACATGGTCTTGTAAATCATCAACAGCTGTGGGACCAATACAAAAAGTGCTTTCCACACTGTGAAGAATGGGTGGTGTGGAGAGGGTGAAAAGACTGTGGCAATGCTGTGTAGTAACTGTGGCAAGATGTAACCAGAAGGACCTTGGAGATGGAGCAGCAGTGAAAGATTTTGCTTGCTGGATGAGTGAAGGAAAAGCTGACTTGTAATTGCTCTGAGACAAAGTTTGCTAGATGACTGTGGAAACCGGAGGTGCATTTGTGCTTCAGACTGCTGGACTAAACCTGGACTTGCATTGTGTGATATTCTTTCCCTCTCCCATTCCCTAAAAAACCCTGTAACAATGAGTAAAGTCTGTGAGTCAAGTTGCAATGAACATGGGACCCAATGATTGGTAGAAATAGGTGCAGGAACATATGCGGTGGCATGTCTGATGACGTAGCCATTTGTATGGTACTATCTATGAACATTATTGATGAGTAAAGGTCCCTTTTATAAAGTGGACATAAGTCAGACTCAGCCTCCCCCACATTGTATCTGGCCCTTAGGCAGTGATAGGAGAAACTTACATACACACACACACACACACACACACACACACACACACACACATTTATCCAGCAATAAAAATAAATGTACTATCACGCAACAAAAAGACATATGAGAAAACTCAAGTGCAAACTGCTAAGGAGAAAAGTCAATCTGAAAAGCTCATTACAGCACGACCCAACTATATGATGTTCTGGAAAAGGCAAAAACTACAGTTGCTATTGTGTGCCAGCAAGTCAAGTATGACTCCTAGCAGCGACCCTATGAACAACAAATTTGAGTCCTATCCTATCCTGTGCCATCTTCATCGTATTTGACACACTCTGGCCTATTGCTACAGCTACTGTGTCAATCCAACTCTTTAGCTGACCTTCTTAGTATGATGTCTCTTTCTAATTTCATAATCTTTGCCTCTAAGGAGCACTCCGGTTGCACCTCCCTGAGGCACATCTGTTTGTTTTTTTTGAAGTTCATAGGATATTCAGTACTCTTCTCCAACATCACAACTAAAAAAGTTTTCTTTTGTCATTCCTATTCACTGTCCAGCTCTCAGATGTACAACAGGTAGGATGCAAAGACCACTGCTTCAGTCTGGCGCACCTTAAGTCTTCAAACTGACATCACCCTTGCTCAGTACTTTGGAGAGGTCTCTGGCAGACGACTTTCCCCAGCACACACAAAACATCTTTTGATTTCTTGACTACTGGTGGCAAGGGTGTTGACTGTGGAGCCAAGTAAGGTGAAGTTGTTGACAATTTAATCTTTCTTTCA